AGTCACGAAAATTATGTTGCGACACTGCTTCAAGTGGGTTAAACCGGCTGCCTACGAAATCGATAATCAAAAATCCTCGAATATTAATTGGGCTTGAAATGTACCTCTGAGATCGAAAGAAATTGTACGAAAATTTTTCTTGGATTTCTCTCATATACATTAGTCAGTCAGAAATTCTGTCACCATATATATTTTTTAAATAAATATTCATACATTTAAAGGCCCAGAACCTCTCAAGATAGAAGGATACTAAATGAGGTTTTAGAGGGAATGCAAGAGCAAATTATATGTATAGGTATTATGGGTAACGGCGAGATTTGAAGAGGTTAAGATTAGAGTGATCGAGGAAGCATCCTCTAGGGAGTAGCAGCTATTGGAAGTTAAGCTTGTACGGTTATGTCTCTTTGGATTCATGACTAACTCGGTAGAATATTTTCCCGCAGTAGGTTGCCGTTTCTTTCGCAGTAAATTAATTGATTTAAAATATGTTTTTTTCGCTACACAGTTCTAACCATGTTTCAAAAATGGAAGCTAAAAGCCACCAATTTAATTTTGTAATTAAATTAAAGACATTAGTTCCATTTCATCCTCAAGCGAATTTTGGAGTAACTTTTAAAATTACTGGGTTTTAAAGACACAGTTAAAATCATAATTCACGTTTCCAAGGATACAGAGAAATCCATTCAACCAGACTAGGGGTGTTTGCGTGTTTATTATCGCTGTATTTTGATGTATCAGTTATTAGTTACGTTTTGGTAGGGGGTAGGGATGTATTTATAAGAACACCGGATTATATATCTTACTGTTCTTTTTTATATTATATATATATATATATATATATATATATATATATATATATTTGTAGATATTTTTGTAGGTACAAAATTTATTGACAGAAATAAAAGTACAAAACTTAATATTACTAGATATATTAAAAAACGGGCGAATAAACTGGTTTCATCCTGAAACTTCAGGCTTCAACGGGAGATTTAATTTAAATTAAAACACAGAAAATGTACAATAAAAAGGAAGTTGTGGGGTGAGGAAAAAGAAATGAGCAAAAGGAATTCGAGACAAATGACAGCGAGCTCCAAAAAGCACTCACGTTGTTTACACAAAGAAGGCTTGTGTGACCCGATGTAAAGAGCCTTCAGAACCTTAAGATGAAATAAAGAGTGTCACGGGGACAACACGGTGAACCAGTCGACACTAGTATTTAGTCACCCAGGCCGGTTTAACGTGGGATCTCCGAGCCCGTGGGCTCGGCCAAAAATATGCCCTTTGAACCATATAAATGGGTCCAGGGTCGGTTTAGCTCCCCGAAAGAGACTCCGCCCTTCGGCGTAGACTCCTTCGGGTTCCTCCCCGCCCGAGGGCAGAGTGTTCAACCGATCAGCCGGTCAGCCGGTCAGCCGGACGTACGACTTCAGACTGAACCAGTCGACACTACATTTGGCTGCACAATCTCTGTTCTTTAATAGGTGTTCGCATATGGCGGAACCATAGGTGTTTGGGACGAGTCCATTCAACGCAAGGTATAATTTCTAATTTTTGTAGGAACGTGTTGCTTGATTCTTATGTCTAAGCGTTGAGTTGTCCTCCCTATGTAGTCGGCTCCGCAACTACAAACGTATTCATAAATAATTGAATTAATTTGATGGGGAGGAGGAACGTCTTTACACGCAGAATAAAACATAGGCCGTGTTTGAAAAATTATACGAACCTCAGCAGAGAAAAAACAACGACGAACATTAGATGAAATTTGTTTAACTATACTTTCACACGTGGTACCGCCTGTTTTTAATATGTCTAGTAATATTAAGTTTTATACTTTTATTTTTATTTATATATATATATATATATATATATATATATATATATATATATATATATTATACCGGAACGTACATATTCTATGGTAAATAGACTTTTCCACAGATAAGTAGTAGTAGTAGCAGTCGCCAGTTGGGCTCAGTGGAGTTGAGTGACTCAGTCGATGTCGGACATTGAAGTATCAACCACCACAACTAGATTGCTGCGTCATTAACTATTATTTTCAAGTTCCTAACGTTTTGCACGTCGGACCCTTTTAGGACCGACTTAGTGAAATACAAGCCTCCACTGTGAAAACTACTCGACAACAATATATATATATATAATTTGGAGTTACTATGTGACCAACAGCAAAGTCTTTGAAAGTGCCAACGGTCAAAGCACTGATCATTAAACACTATCTTCGATGGCCAGGACATGTAACAAGAATGGAAGAGTCAACGTTTTCCAATCAAGTCTTATTAAGTGAGCTCAATTCAAGGAAAAAAGACCACGAGGTAGTCCACTTCGTAGATATTAGGACAAACTCAAAAACAAGACTGAAAGCCATTGAATTTAAACCTAAATCGTTTGAGGAAAAGACCGTACCAACTGGCAATGTTCTATCATCATCGGAACCAAAATCTTCGAAACCACCGGAAGAGAAAAGGAAGACGTCGAATGACAAGAGAGAGAGACTCGGCAAAAATCGACTACGTCCTCCACCAATGTTAATATGTAGTTAATGCCATCAACACCTTCATGCAAGAATTGGTCTACTTAGCCATCAGCGTCATCGTTATAAAAGAAGCGATCAGAAAAGAAGAGAGAGAAAAGAAGATACAACTTTAAAGAGAAAATATTATGTAAACATATTTATAGCAATATTATCAACTATTAACACACGTTTAAAAAAATCTACATTACGTCACCATTTCTCTACAGAGCCATTGTTTATGAATCTAACTTTTCTCTTCCGAATGCATAAAAATCAATGAAGATACATACAAAATAAGCTCGACATATGCTTTAATGAAAAATCAAACCAAAACAAAATTTTTCAAAAACATCCTGCAGCGTCTCACTAGCTTTTAAAGAATTTAGTGTCTAGAATGTTTTCTTACACATATTTGAATATTATTTGTTAATTCATTACATATGGCACGTATCTAACCAATAAAAAATAACCAAACACCGCCTACCATTTTTATCATTTTTGTCTTGATCTCTGACGAAGATTTAATAAAGTGAAACATGTTAGATTGAGATCTGTTTCCTACTTGTTCTTTATCCTATCATTTTGTCGGATTCTATCCATACTTGATCTATAGTTGATTTTTTACTCATATATATATATATATATATATATATATATATATATATATATATATATATATATATATATATATATGTATGTATGTATGTGTGTGTGTGTGTGTGTGTGTGTGTGTGTGTGTGTACAGTGCTGTTCGATAAAAGTGACTCACCTTATCCTTTCAATTTAGCTCAACTTTCGTTTCATCCGAGAAAAGAATATTCTTCCAGTCTTCTACGGTGAAATTTTTGTAATAGTGAGCCCATTCAAGTCTCTTGGCTTTGTTGGCTTTGCTTATTAGCGGCTTAAACCATCGTGTACAAGATTTGTAGCCTTGTTCTAACAAGATTTGTAACCTTGTTCTAACGGACTTTTGAAGATGCAAGTCTAACACCTTGCTCTTCGCTTAGACTGGCTGTAATTTATTGGCTAGTTATTGTCCTATTCTGCGCAACTTCTCTCTTGATTACCCTGCCAGTTCTATCATCAATCTTTTTTCTTTTGTCCCCTTCCTTGGAGCAGGAGTAGAATCATTATTTGCCCTAAGCACTCAAGAGACAGTTGATTGCGAGGTTATAGCAATTTCTTCAATTTCTCTCGTAGACTTGCCTGCTTTTGAGAGGGCAATAATAGATTCCTTAAGTGGTTCTGATGGGTGTTTGTACCCTTTCATGTGGTTAGTGACTTGAGTGGCTATTTCAACCTGTTTTTATACTGTATGAGACTTTCTGGAATATTCTGGAATACTCTAGATTTAATTTAAGCTGTTCTAGAATTTTCTAGAATAATGTTCTGAGTGTATTGTAAAATAGTTTTCATTTAATCATTAGAATGCGATATCTGAGTCATTTTCTTTTTTCTTTTTTTTTTTTTTTTTGCACAGAGTTTTTTCCTGAATCTCATTTATATCCAAATTTATAATTATCAATAGAATACCTTTGGGTGAATAAACTTTTTTCCTAGATGGTCGGGAAGGTGTCTTTATATTAGTAAGATTCAAAATTATTTTAACCCAAAAAACAATAGACAAAAAATATCTTTTATTTATTTTAAAAAAAAAAAAGTGCTCGATACACAAGTGGGGCTTAAAATTATAATTATCTTTTTTAAAATGTGATTATTTATTTTTAAAAAATGATATATATATATATATATATATATATATATATATATATATATATATATATATATATCTTCGGCAAAATAAAGAAAAACTGTATTTATTTGTCTACAGAAAACATAAACTAATATTGTCTTAATCGGCATAACAACTTCAGACAGTTCATTGTTTCAAATTCCGGTTCTCATATATAATAGTCATTAAATGGTACTAAAATATAGTTAGTGATTGTACCAAGGGCGGAAGTTGATGAGTTAAAATTTGAGAAAGATTGGTTCAGACATTTAGGGGAAATTTAAGATGTTGCAATTTGTACAACAATTTCATACAGGCTGTTGTAATTTACAAGGCCACTAGCAAGGAGTGCAGATTAAGAACTGAACAGTAATCACAATCTTCAAAACTTATCCACGACTTCACAACGAAGTGTCCTAGATAAAGAAGATTGTCTTTGATGTGTCGTCTATTCAAGCATAAACAAAGAATTCTTTCTCAGACAAGCCAAATTCTTTCTATGCGAGCTGGGATTAAATTGGAATATTTTCTTTCTCTTTCCGCTCTTAGCTTCCAAATTAGATGAACCTTACAACGGATATTTTTTCTTCTTTTTCAACTTCATCGATTCCGTGCCCTGAAATGAAAGAAACTATTTTTTCTTTACGTCATATTCATCCTTGAAACGTTCTTTAATAAAATGATTTTAAAAAAAAATGTTTAACTACTCTTACGCGCATGCGCGATTCTTGAGGGCTCTTAAAGGAAAGAAATGCAAATGGATGAAAGCAATTCTAGTGGTTGCCTGTTCGATAAAAAGCTACACGATCCCTAATTTCAGTACAGCAACTTTGACATGAGATTACAGACTTAAAGAAGGATTACTTGTTTAATATATAGAAAAAAAATGGACGAAAAGATGAATCTCATATAAATGAACAAAAAGCGACAAGTAAGAAAAAAAAAGCTACGAGAATCCATGAAATTAAATTATTTCTGTCAGAATAAAATTATCTTTAAAGCTTCATGTCTCTCCTGCAAAAATCGCAGAAGATTTCCTTTTTTTTTTCTATGTGCAGCTCATTTGAACACCGTTGGAAAACGATTCGACACTTGAGCTGCTTTTATTAGTTTCGGCAATTGGAGTTTTTGGACGCCATCGACCAAATTTTGTTTTTTGATTCGTCCTCAAATGTCAGTATCATGCAAAGGTAAAAAAAAATAAATGAAAGGAATTAACTTCGAGTGACTCTGCAAGTATGGAATGGCACTTTACTCGATCCGTTCTTTTGCTTGCGAATTAAGAAACACAAAATGAACCATACAAAAGCGACTTAACGCATTATGAAATCAACATGTATGTCTACTCGAATACACTTATCACTTAAATATAACGTTTATTGTAATATTATATATATATATATATATATATATATATATATATATGTATGTGTGTGTGTGTGTGTGTGTGTGTGTGTGTAGATAGTTAACACATTGAAATAGATAGAGAGACATACACATACACAAATACATAGAGAGAGAGAGAGAGGTGGGGGAGAAATAGATGTAGATATATATGGCAAAATAAGAAAATAAATAGATAAATAAATGTACATGTTTCGCTTTTATATAAGTTTCATCAGATATTGGATATGAGTTAAGGAAAAGAAAGTTTCGGTATTTTAGTTCTGGCTTGTTTGCTCTCATTTGTCAATTAGGCATCACATGTTTTTGTCTTGTGGCGTGTGTGTATGTGTGTGCGTGTGTGTATATGATAAGAAAAGAGTGACAGAAATAGATACATAGATAAGTGAAATTCTGAAGCATGTATGTACGTGTGTATGTATATGTATGATAAGAAAAGAGTGACATAGATAGAGAGAGAGATAGAAATGAAAAGAGCGAGATAGATAGATAGATAGATAGATAGATAGATAGATAGATAGATAGATAGATAGATAATGAAAAGAGTGATTTAGCTAGCAAGCTAGATAGATAATGAAGAGTTAGATAGATAGCAAGATATAAATGGATAATAGATAACGTAAAAAGATAGATAGATAGATAGATAGATAGATGAGAAAGATATATAATAGATAGATAGATAGATATAGATAGCAAGAAATATAAATAGATAATAGATAACGACAAAAATAGATAGATAGATAGATAGATAGATAGATAGATAGATAGATAGATAGATAGATAGATAGAAAATTAAAAGAGTGAGCTAGCTAACTGGATAGATAACATGAAAATAATGAAACAGATAATAGATAGATAGAATAGATAGATAGAAATAGATAATAGATAGAAAATTAAAAAGAAAGCAAATAGCTAATGGATAGATAGACGAAAATAATGAAATAGATAGATAGATAGATAGATAGATAGATAGATAGATAGATAGATAGATAGATAGATAGAAAATTAAAATGAGCTAGCTAACTGGATAGATAGACATGAAAATAATGAAACAGATAGATAGATAGATAGATAGATAGATAGATAGATAGATAGATAGATAGATAGATAGATATGAAGAGTGAAATATGATGTATTATTCTATTATAAACTTTGGGAACTACATCATGCACGTATCCGAAACACGAAAACGCTTAAATATAAATCTGCTACAGGGAAATCCCACGAATCCAGAGAGTCGATTGTCTGTTTCAAATTAAAGTTTTAAAATCTCCAAGAAGTCCTATCACCAACCACTAGAATGAAAGTAAAGTTTTCCTGATCAATTCTACGAGTTTCGTTGATTGCATCGCATCAACTCTAATTGATCATTAGGCAATGAATCCTGCGGAAACCAATTTATATGTAGACAGTGCGCATGGGCAGTGTATCCGAGGCGGTGAGACAATAATGGCATCATTATATGAACAGTACTCGTAGGCGTTGTGGAGATCAGTCACGGGAGACAACTCATTTTTCTTTCTTTTCTCATCGGCTCTGAAAATTACATTGCCGTCACGCATGCGCTGTACAAACAATGTTGAAAAGTTTTTAAGCAAGAGGTTTCCAGACGGCAATAAGGCCCAGAATAAATATTAACCATTATTAAATGGTTTATCAATGATATGTAATATTTAGTGTCTGCTGTTATTTCCGGGATTAGCCTTACTCATAAAAAAAAGGGAAAATGTTTGTGGAATAATTTTTATAGAAGAATATTCATCAGACGCTCTTTTACCAACGACAGTTTTCAGAATCGAAATATTGACTTTTTAAAACATTTTAAATGGATTCCTGTTCATAATATATATACAGTCTCAATTCGATCCACGTTTTAATTGGAATCATCCTAATGGCACTAAAACACAAGGTGTTACAGGGTGGGGAAGATTCAGAAATAGAAACATTAATGATTAGCAGAAAGAAAAATACAAACTCTCAGAACAGCAGAAAGAAATGGTATTTTAATTCTGGGTTGTTTGCTTTCATTTGTCAGTTAGGCATCACATGCTTTTGTCATGTGGCGTGTGTGTGTGTGTGTGTGTGTGTGTGTGTGTGTGTGTGTGTGTATGTGTACGTGTGTGTGAATTCCTCGATAGGAAAGCTTATTAGTCTGACAAGTTCAAAATGGGAGCCGTTGTCCAAAAGGATCTCTAGTCCGTAGTAAACTAGGGTAAAAGATGGCTTGTTAATATTAACGCCTCCAAAATTAAAGTTCATCTGAGTGACCTTATCTACGTATCGAATTGAATTTAAATTTTGGCAGTTTAAAGTTGGCTGGAAAGCATTGAACTGGAAGAGAGTTCCACAAGTAAGAAGTGCGAGAACTGTCAGCATAGAATTTATGGTTACATCTAGCCATCTCAGCTGTAAATTGATGAGGTTTCGACGCCAGTCTAGTGCTGAGCTTAAATTTGAAAAAAAAACAAAAAACTCTAGGTAACATAGCGAAGAGCTCATCGGAACAATTACTATGGAAATATTTATAGAAAACACATAGACAAGCGGCAACCTTACGCCGGTGTGAAAGTGACTGGAGCTGATCAGCCACATCAGGACCAGTAATATTGCCGATTCTTCTTTGGATCTTATCAAGTATCTCAAGGTATAAAGTAAGGGCACTGGACTATATGTAGCAGCAATATTCTAAGCATGTACGAATGGTAGAATTATAGATATGTAAGATAAAATTATATATATGTAAGGTAGGGGGCAAGGTAGAGTAATGGATAGCGGCTCGAATTGAGGAATCGGAGAGCCGAGTTCGAATTCCAGTCGCATCCATTATATTCACTTACGTGCAAATACCCTTGGGAAAGGTATGAATCCTCTTCCCCCACTGAGTTCTATAGCCCTTGATGGTAGAAAGAAATAGCAACCAACAAGGTAGAAAAATCTACCTCGTCAGTCATGTATCGAAAGATACATGATCGCCTTAGCGTGTATCAAGTATGGCACATAACTGACTGACTGAAGATAGATTCTAGAGACCAAAATTGTCTCTCCCGACATAGTGAACTTTCTTAGGGGCTGACTTAGCAATGGATTCAATATACACTTTGGTATGTATGTACTAGTGAGCCAGTCAAAATGAGCTGACTCATTTTATAGTTCACCAATAGAAAGGTTAACCAATCAGAAACCTCAAAATATTCAATGCGACGTGTATAAAGTCAGTCATTTTGTTTTTTTTCTCCCAAAATAGCTTCAATGCCAACCTGATATCGAAGAATTTGAGAATTAACAGCTGCTACTTTCTCCGAATGTACACTGCCAACCTCTGATATTGAAGAGATTACGGACTTCACTGGATTCCATATTCAGAGACTACGGCAAACATGTTCAACAGACTTTCCACTTCATATCAGCTGAGAACTTTAGACCTAGAAGGCTCAACGAGTCACTTTCTTGGAGGTTAGCATCAGCCATGCTGATGGAAGGTAGAGAAGCCTTACCTTAAGGAGCAATTTGTACGGAGAGGAGGGGGAAGAAAACGGTTAACTCGACACTGGTTAAGAATGTAGTGATGGGGCTTTTCATTTCATATCAGCAGAGAACGATACGTAGATAAGGTCACTCAGATGATTAATGGAGAGAACCTTAATTTTGGAGGCGTTAATATTAACAAGCCATCGTTTACCCTAGTTTTCTACGGACTTGAGATCGTTTTGGACAACGGCTACCATTTTGAACGTGTCAGACTATTAAGCTTTACTATCGGGGCACTAGTAAATTGTTGTGTCAACAGCGTAGATACCAAGCTGAGAGCTGATGTCATCAGGTAAGTCATTAATGAAAATTGAAAATAAAGTAGGACCAAGGATGAGCCCTGGAGGACACCTGCATTAGTTCAAAAGGATCTAGACGAGTGGCCATTTAGGATAACTCTCATTTCACGATTTGATACGAAAGACTGGATAGTTCAAAAATGTGTCTGGAGACACCCTAAATTTTTAGGTTGTCTAGTGCACGATAAACCCTCTACGCAATTATTGTCAGTACATCAGCAGCTGACTTAGAAAAACGAAAGCCATTTTGCTTGTCTGAGAAAAAGGCCCTGCGATGAGTGATGCTGAACCAATTCAGCATTGATTAGGGCCTCTATGAATTTCGCTAAAAGAGCTGGAAGGTTACTAGGCCGATAGTTGGAAGGGTCGGACGGCTCACCACAACAGATAAGGACTTTCAGCAGGCAGAAAAGCAGCTATTTATTATACATTTTGTAGAGAAGAAGAGCCAGTTCGGGAGCACACTTCTTAAAAACTATTACAGAGATACCATTGGGCCCACATGTTTTGTGGGGATCTAGGTTAGAGATGAGATTAGAGGGGTTATATGCATATTACTCAGCAGAGACTCAGTGCAAGGAGGGAAGTTAAGCAGGGATAATCCGGAAAAGTCAAGAGTAGAGTTTGAGGAGAATTCACGACAAACCATTCAGCTTTATCAGAAGAGAATGATAACACCTCAAATCGATTGAAGAGGAGTCGAATAGAAATCTTGCACTTATTACAGAGCTAGCAGTAACCCCGAGAGCCAAATTTGTTAGAGGCTATTCGATGGCTCATTCTCTCGGCAAACAAGGACTTTGCTCCTTTGAGGATCCCTTTCTTCTTAAAGAGTTACCTGTACTTTGTTTTTATTTAAAAATATCAAGTTTGTAACTGTGTCCAGGTGTTTGATAAGTGCAATCTACTGATGAATTCATTTTCACCAAATGATTTCCAAAAGACTACAATCTTAACCTCTTCAAGGAAACATCGGTTCTCCTACGATAGCAGAAGTTAAACAACGTCAAGCCTGGTCAATTTCTAGATAGATGACCGCTTGGGAATATGTCCCAATATTATTGTTGGTAACGGAAAAATAATGACGTGGATAATGTCGTTTTTGACGTATTTTTTAACGTCAAAAACGACATTTATCAACCACATTTTGCACCAATTACCAAATTTTCTTGGATGAACCGGGTGATGTAATGGATAATGGCACAAAATTGTTAAAAAGGGATTTATTGAGTTCCATTTCAGGTTAGGTTCGTTACATCCTCTTAAGCGCAAATACCCGACTTCACTTTCCCAGCAGTAGGTTGATTAGTAATACTTGTATCGCTAAAAACCACTATCTCAAAAAATAAAAGTAAAATTGTGTAGAATATATTTCGATTGCGGCATTAAATAACCCATAGAGCTGTTGATATGCCGCTAAAAACAAGCAACCATCTCTTCAAATCTAGAAAAAACCGTTAACTATCCTCCTTATCCTTAAAATTTTCATTACTTTCATATCATACATCACATTCAGTAACCCTCATCCTTGAGAATCTCTTGGGTCTTATATTCAGTGAACGCCCTATCATAATTGCACTTGTCTCTCCATTCGTTAGTTCACACGACCGTTATGTTCCGCCAATACCTCATAAAGAATAAACAATTCCGTTTTGGTCGCATGTAAATAGAAGAAAAGACACTACTTGGTTTCAGTGAGAAAAAGTAAGAAGTGTTCAATGTTTCCTGCCAAGATCTCATTAATAATGGACTATTACTTTTTCATCGCGTAGGAAGAGGAGGAAAAGGTGTTTTGTTTTGGTTTAGTTTTTGAGAGAGTTTTTTTCTGAAAGAAAGAAAAAGAAAAGAAAGAAAGAAAAAAGAATTTTAACGCCACTTTTCCTTGTCTCATAAATAATGAACTATTCCGTTTCGATCGCGTAGAGGAGGATGAAGAATGTTCTTCTTGGTTTCAGTGAGAAAAAGAAAGAAGAAAAAAAGAAAAAGAAAATAAAGAAAAGAAAGAAAAAAAAAGAAAGAAAAAAAAAAAAGAAAGAAACAAAGAAAGAAAAAAAAAAGACCAAAAGAAACAAACAAACAAACAAACAAAAAGAGAGATAATTTTTTTTAACGTTTTCTTTCAATGATTATAAATAATGAACTATTCCGTTTTTGATCTTTTTAGGAAGAAGAGGAAAAGAGACTTGGTTCCGCGAAGTGAGAAAAAAAAAGAAAGAAAGAAACAAAAAGAAACAAAAGAAAATATATAAAGATAGAATCTTTAACGTTTGGATAAAAGTATAGAATAAATAATTGTTATTCCGTTTTGTTCGCGTGTAAAGAGAGGAAAATTCGTTCTGTATTTATGGCTACAAAAAGTTTAAATCATATTATCATTGATGGGGGAAAAACAGGTGTATGCCTATTCATTACATCCGAATCCATAAAGAAGGTTCTACTTTTTGCGACATTTTGCCAAACTAACCTGACCGTAAATATTTAAGGCAACACACACAGACACAAACTGATCTCGCAGGCCATTATTGATACATAGAGTTTGATCTTATTTTTAAGAGGAAATAATTGTGCTTGTCAATAAATTCAGAAACGAGCAGATTGCAGAAAAAAGTCGTTATGCTCATAGGAAGATCGGCAACACTAATTCATGTTTTGCACAGTTTGCTGAAAAGGTAGAAGTCATGCGAATTGATATTATTGAAAAAACGTTGAGGCCGCGATTTACCTTGTCAAATCTA